TCGCATGATCTCCTCGCCACGTGGGGAGCATGGTGATAAGTCGGACCTAAAATGCAAAACTCCAATTTTTATGGACAATCCGGATTCGCTCAATTAAAAAAGAGTTTGATTCACATGCACCGAATTTTTCAAATTTCAAATAGCATTTGAATAAAACAAGTATCATACCCGAACTCTGGCTGATCCTTGCCCTCGCACATCACGGTCATACCATTTATACTTAAGGCTTCCGTCATTCCATCCACATATCTGAAAGCATCTGATTTGAAAGCAAAGAATCTGCAGATAGCTATTGGTTAGGATTTTCAGCATAAATGATTGGTATTGAAACCCGCTTTCATCCGACTTAAAACAAAATTATGTTGAGATCATATCTAATGAAAGGTTGGACAAATATTCAATCTTTCTCGATGCATGTGAGGTCTAAAGTGATCTAATACTTATTCTCAAAAAAAAAAAACAGAAGAAAAGGAAAGTGAAGCGAAAAGAGTTACTTTAATTTTTTACAAACTGTTAATTTTTGAAAAAACTAAACCCTAGATATATTTTGGAAGGTGATTGCTACTAATTTATTACCGTATTACCTTAGGAAAGTATTACGAAATAAGATGTTCTTGGGAGTAGGATGAAACATACAATAATTAACGCCTTTTTGAAGAACCGAAAATTTATTTAAAATTGCAAGGAGAGATACGAGCCAAGTTTCTATTTGAAAGGTTTTACAGAAAGCAGCAGTTTACATCCGAATAAAATTGGTTTTCAACATTAGACGGAGCCCACCTAAACTGAAAAATGAAATAGGATATGCAAATCTAAAGTTTATTTCACACTTGTTTTGCAAGAAGGAAAATCCTGCTCCTAGAAGAGATCTGTTCCCATGAATATCCTGCACAATGCTTGTTTAGAACTTTTACCCATGAAGATTCTCACCCTCACATAGAATGCATCTTTCAACTTAGATGAATAATGAGCATATGCAAATTATTATTGCTAAATTTTATATTCAGTTATTTTTGGAGTTGATTGATA